CCCCCCCCCCCCCCCCCCCCCGACTGCATCCAGGTGTTTTTTTCTTGTCCAAGCATTGTCTGAATCCTCCTTTAAGGGCAAAAGCAGTCTTACTTTTAGTGCTTATATTTAGCATATATGGGAATTTAGTAATGGCTCCTTTATTCTTTTTGAAGACTATGGTCTTAGATCTAATGCACTGCATCTGTGCGCATTAATAATGGAGCATTACACTCGTTATGCCTGACAATGTGCAGCATAGATAAACACAGGTGTAACTACACTTTGAAAGACTAGTTTTCTTCTTCAGCTCTTCCAGTTTAGATAAATACACTGCACACTCTGGAAGAAGGTGCTCTCATGGATTCCTGCTATGTGAGCAGCAGACTATTTGTTTAAATGATGCTTTGTCATCTGAAGAACCTGGAAAAAATGTCTTAGGTGAAGGTTAGAGATTGCTTATCACAGGTATAGAAATAAATACACCCTTTTCTGCATAAAGTTCTCTATGTTGGAAAGGCTAATTCAATCACCTGCAATGGTATTATTTCATATTCATCTGACATGCATTATTTTGAAAAAAATCCCTCATTTACTGAAAAAATAAGAAAGGTTGAGCTGTCTCAGACTGCAAAACCTCATTTTATTCTTTTCTTTATAGAAAAATCAAGATGATATTTATTTCACTTCTTTCCACTTTTTTTTTTTTTTTTTTAAATACAACAAACTATTTGCCAATTTTTTTTTTTTTTTTTTAAATACAACAAACTATTTGCCAATGTTTAAGTATGTGAACATCAATGTCCATTTTCATAGCAAGGTATTTCACCTGGTTATGGTTATAAAGGAAAACCAGTTTGGATATCACATTCCCATTTGAAATCTGGACTTGAAAACTGCCAATAAAAAACGGAAAACCATCTGTTTTTCCCAACTTTGCTCTGCATTTGACAGAGCACTGGGGATGCCAGTTGCATAGTTTGAATCGCCTCTTTCACTTCATCTTATGATACTACAACATTACTTAGAGTAAGTCTTTCTCCAGTCCATGCCAGAGGGTCAAGTTCAGGAGAAAAGCTGAAGCTGAAAATGAAGCAGCCATGTATGAGAGTGAAGAAGAGGGAAAACAGAACACAGTCAATGAATGTTTTCTACTGCTGCCTTGAAAAATATCAGTTGCACCATCATCAATCCCATCAGTACAAACAAAACTCTCCTGTCCAACCACATAACACACACTTCCTTAAATTCATCGTACACATAAAATTTAGTGTGTGCTCTATAAAGCCAGTGAATTTTAAACTCATTAATACTAGAACAACAACAACAAAATTCTGTATGGTATTTATTCTTACCAACTGCACAACAGTGCAGCATAGTCAGGACTGAGCTACATTTTCCCAACACAGAGGAACATTTTAGAAATTGAAGTACAATAAAGTTAAAAGACATTATTTTATTTATAAAAGATTTACCTAATAATTTACCAACACAATTTTTCATATTTTCTAAACATATCAGAAACAAAATCCAATGCCAGCAGACATTTTGCAATTAAGGGTGGAAAACACTTCAGGGAAGGAATGTGGAATAAGAAAATTACATGCAATCAGGAAGTGGATGTGGGGCATCGTATCACAATGCAGCATCTCTTATCTCTTGGAAGGCAGAGAAGTCAGCTTA